CTAGCCTAAAATTGGAATGAGGTTAGATACATTTTGGCATCCTGGAAAAACTACAAAACTCTGTAAGACAGTAATGACACCGGTAAGATTACAGCCTATGTCACAGTCTTTCATAAATAACACTGGCAGGGATGAACACTCTGCTGTCGGATTGTCGTTGTTTTCCTGTTAGCTGTGAGATTGTCTTGCATCCTTTTATGTCTTTTAGCTCTCACAAAAAAGTAAAAGCCAGTCCGAGATTAACTCTTGCTTGGTCACTTGCACTTTTTCTCTTCCTCACTTGCTCTGACAACGTCTTCTTCTGTCTTTTGGCAGCCTCTGCAATGATGTCCATGCTGGCAAAACTGAGCTAGCTGAACACCACAGTCATGGTGTGTGACATGGTGCTGTAAAGCGTTACACAGTTCTCCTGAGAGGTTTCATGCCTGCTCCTCCAAAGTTACATAGTGCTATAGCAGGCACTCTGGGCCACTATGTGGCAATGACAGAGACGCCATTCTTACTATTATAAGTCAGTGTATCATCAAAATGATTTTAAAGCTGTTATTTTAACACTAAAATTGTTACATAATGTTGCTTTGACAATACATTAGAAAAACATAAATCGTACATGAATGGCATATATTGCTCGTATATACTAACTTCATGGTATATAATGGACGGTTTTCATGCACCTTTGTTTCTTCCACAAACTTCAGAATGAAGTGAAAATGAGCACAGTAGCTACATAACTAAACTCTAAAAACATGCACACTGTAAGCTGTGAAAGAGAATCATTTATACTTGAAATAAGTAAAATATTTTTCCTGAACAATTTAAATAATTTAATACATAAATGTCTTATGTAAAATAAGTGATCCATATATTATTCATGTGTTGACCAACCTATCAGACATATATACAGATCCATATATTGTGCATTTATGTCTAATATTTGATACTTACACACATATACACAATACCTATGTGCATACATTTTGAAATATATGCCTAACCCATTACATGTTCACTTGAATTATGTGTGTTAGAGAAATCTGAAGCTCTGTGATTCTACTGAACTGGACGAATGTCATATTACTTGTTACAGCAGGCCACTTTGGTTTGAATGTGCTGTTTTGCTGAAAACAACCCACTGCCAGTTTCCAGCTGGACCATGGTGATGAAGCTGGCCTACCAGCACGGCTTAGGTGTCTAGAGGCCGTGTTGGCCGAAGTTCAGTCTTGCTGGAAATGTCAAGCCAAAACCAACAACGCAAGCAGTAAAGTGTCCAAAACACAACAACTGGTCACCAGCATGCCATCTTTGTTTAAGCAGTTTTAGAATGAGCATCCAGAGCCTTCCTTATGAGCCACAATAGAGAATCAGTCAGCAGTCTGTTTCAGAGAGAACCAGTACCACATGCAAACAAGACACTTGTAGTAAATTTTAGATTTAGTTTGCAGTGAAAGCTCACATTCCCACATGGGAGTTTATTTTATTATGTATGTGGGTCAATCACAAATAAGGAACTACCTTCCCTGTGACAAAATCGCAATAACGCCCGGCCTCAAGTGGCTTATTGCTTTTATAAAACGGCAGACAACATGAAATATGAAAAAATACACAATTTTTCAGAAAATAATTTATCATTAATAATAATCGACATAAACAAGTATTCCGCCAAGAAACGTAGTTCCTTCGGTATCGTTGCCAAGCAACCATGGACCGCTAAATGAGGAGAACGTTCGGTCGCCCATCGCTGTATACTGCGGTAATTTCATGAACTTTTTAACTTTTTGTCGTTTAACAATGAACAACAGCTCCCCTCTTCTCACGCTGGGGCTGAATTGCTCCCTGCTCCCTACATCATGCAGTAGCTAAATAGGAATTTAAATACCGGTTCCTGCAGCCCAACGGTGAATAATAAAGCTAAAAATGGTCTTTTGGGATTCAGCAACATCCACACTCGATAAATGATGCACTGTTTGGCTGTAGAGGCTAGAATTTCTAAACTTCCATAGCTAGCACACTATTTAGGGAGTAATGTTACGGAGCCGTTTGGGATTCAGCCTGGGTTTGACGCTACTTCTGACTGAAACACGGACATTTGAAGTGTGTAAGTCATTCAAGTGACACTCTTTAGACTTTCATGCTGCCCTTTTACAGTGAATCATATCATAAGTGCTTTAATTCAAGCCTGTGATATTAATGATGGAGTTGTTTAGGTTGTTAGCTATCCTGTAGCCTGAGCTACCTGACCAGCCTAGTTCTTGTTAAGAAAATAAGGTGCCAGCCGCTCAGTTTAAACAGAAGACGGGTTCTTACTTCGTCAGTGCACTCTGTGGTTTCTGCGAGCAGCATTAAAGTCAAAGATTAATCCATTAACAGCAGCAGGGTTTTTCGTGCTGTGGCGCAGTAATACAGAGCTCAGACGCTGTGAGGCGGTCGTATATCGTGGTTTTTACAACGGCTTCAAACGCGGCTCAGCCAATCAGATTTTAGGACCGGAATTATCCCTTTTATAATAAACCACTGTAGTCGTGTCGTCATTTTGTAGTTGGCGCCATGTTCTTATGCCCATATTAGGAACTCCGGGTCTGAGCTCCATTTCTCTATGCCCAGAATGAATAGGGTTTTCGAAAAATCGCCTCTATTTTACTGTGTGTTAAATAATAATGTTCAGAATCCGATGCGTTTTGTCCTGTGATCATTCTTCTCCCGAATACCACTGGATCCTCTGAATTACGAGGTCGTTAAAGAGCTATAATACTAATACTGCTATGGCAGTAAACATTTCCATTTGATGAAGTCAGAACAAAATCAGCAGGTTTCCCTTCCGTTCTCTGTTCTTCATCTGATGCTCACTGAAACACGATATATCTTTCCTTTTAGTCTGATTTGAAAAGATCTACAAACGTACCTGCACTAATCTAGTACAAACTCAGTTTAATATTACTGCTCACCCCCTGATAAACTGATTTAGGCTCTGAGAATATCCTCATTATTATTTTAATGCTGGTAACATATTTCTGAGAACATTTTCTCAGGAAATTCGCCAGCTTTTGTTAGACTTTTCCCGTTCCACCTTAAATGGTGCAGCAGTCATGTTCTGAAGCTGACTTCAGCTTCATGGAGGGTTGAAAGGCATTATGTGAGGAGGTTTCTCTATTTCCGCTTAACATACTTATTTTGCTGTTTAACAGAACCGACAGGTCAGTGTTTTGTCTCGTTTGCTAATGTTTGTGATAGCTAGCCACAGCTGCTGCACCATTTAAGGTGGAACGGGAACAGTCAAACGAAGCTGCGAAAAAGAAGCTAAATTCAGCCTCGTAGTTTTGACACGGGTAATATTTTTGATAATGAGTTTTAACCTATCGAAATATCCCACTCAGAGGTTTTACTTACGGGTATACCTGTAAATATGCGCTACAGTAGAACATTTCGATAAGATACCACAGCTCGTCAGGGCACCGCCACAGCCCGCCTTAGTTTCGTGTAGCTTAGTGACATCAAATTGATGCGCAGTAGCTTTAGCTCGCATGTAGCAATATTAGTGTTAAGGCTCTTTAACGACCTCGTAATTCGGAGGATCCAGTGGTGTTCGGGAGAAAAATATACACAGAACAAAACACATCGGGTTCTGAACACTATTATTTAACACAGGGGGCGATAGAGGCGATTTGAAAACCCTGTTCATTCTGGCCATAGAGAAATGGAGCTCAGACCCGGAGTTCCTAATATGGGCATAACGAGGACTACAGAATGACCCACGACTACAGTGGTCTATACTAACACGAACACATGTTCATGGTTTTTCTGAGGTCACACTGAACCAGCCTGACCATGATTTAAAGGGCTACTTCACTTGCCATTACACTATGAGGCTCTTCAGTCTTCTGTATGGTGCAATACTGCCCATTCTTTTTGAAAGCATGTCAGAATAAGAGTCCTTTGTTTTTGGTTGTGCCATATGACACTGAAGGAAATCAGAATTTATGGACAAAAATGAACTTTTAAAGCCGCCATATTTTTCAACATGTTATGATTTCGAAGGTTTCAAACGTAAACTATTTTATTTAGAATTTTATTTGACAAAATGACCCTTGCTAAAAATTGACCTAACACAAAATATAGCATGTGGGAACGTTATCACACTTCTTATGTTTTACATTTTATTTTTTTCTCATACATTAAACTCAAGAAATTGTGGTCTAAAATTATGCTCTATTTAAATTTATTTCCTGTTAACTTTTTCACTTAGAAAATCAACAAAACACATGTTGACCAGGGGGTGAGGAAGGCAGTCACAGGGCCCAATAAAAACAAAAATGAAAAATTATTGCTGTTATTATTATTATTATTATTATTATATTTTATTTTAATTTTATTAAATTCTTACTATAGTGGCAGATAATTTTGCCTATTTCTTAAGACAAGCCCAATTATTATATTTCACTTAGTAAAATGACCGCACCGCCCATTCAAGTTGAAGTTATAAGGCTTGTTTCAGCCCAGATTGCTTTCGAATAAGACACAATTCAGGAGAGGCAATCATAACAGAGCTCATTTACATATATCAGTCTTAAAGGCACAGTAACAAAAAAAGCCTGCTTAATTCTAAGGGATAAACAGAGGTTGGAAAATTGACTGTTTTTTTGGCATATAAAAATCACACAAATGTTAAAATGAAACTAATATAAAAATGTGCACCCAGTGGACCCCATTCAGGTCAGGTCTTTTGCCCAGAGCCCCACAGTCACTAAATCTGCCCCTGACTGTAGTGTAGAATAATGTGACCCCATGCTCTGCACATTTGTGTGTTTTCCCTGCTCTACTCAGTTGACCCAGACCACCAGGAGCCCGTCAATTACTCACTGAGATGAATCAGGTCTTGGATGAGACGAAGCACAAAAACGTGGTCTGGCAAAGAGAACCGCTGCTTTATGTTTAGTAAAGGAAAGAGCGATGCTGCCATCTGGCGGTCACTGATATAAACTGCACGTTGCCCAAAATGTCGTAAACACCACCAGACCACGCGGCCTGTCGACGTTTTGCCCACAGTTGAAAGTTCACAGCGAGCATGGCTGTGTCTCTGATCTGCCATAACACACAGAGCAGGTGAGAAACAACAGCGTTTCCAGCTGTACTTCATATACTGTAGACGACTCAGTGGTCCGTCTGCGTGTTGTTGACGGCTTTCTGGTTGTGTCCTTCAGAGTGAGCTCAGTGCTGAACAGAGATGTCAAACAGTTCGGGAAGAAGTTCATGTTTGATTCGAATGAGGAGACCTGCTGGAACTCTGACCAGGTCAGTTTCATTTTACTGTTACAGTTCAAGAGGAATTTCATCCATTAAAAAATCTGCTTAATTCATTTGTTGGTTATGCAATATAAAGTTATTCTGAGTGGTTTGATGTTTGATGTGAGGTGGTTCATTGTAGAGAAACTCGGACTCTGATTTCTTTCCTTACAGTGGTGCTGATAGGAACCAGGGGTCACCATGTCTACAACACAGTATAGCCATTTTGTTTACTACACACTTAAAAATGATGGTTCTTCAAGGGTTATGTAGTAAAGAAAATGGCTCTAAATAGAACCATGAACATTCAAAGAACCCTTTGTGTGATTAAAGGGTTCTTTGCATCATGAAAGAGTTCTTCAGATTGATGGAGAATGTGCTGTAGATAGTTCCATATAGAACCCCTTTAGAAAAGGGTTCTATATAGCACCAAAAAGTGTCATTCTATTGTTACAATGTCAAGCTTGCTACAGTAGAAGAACCATTTTCAAAAAGGTTCTATATAGAACCATCTACAGCACATTCTCCATCAATCTGAAGAACCATTTCAGATGAAAATAACTTTTTAATCATGCAAATGGTTCTTTGAGTGTTCATGGTTTATTTAGAACCATTTTCTTTACTAGAGACCCCTTGAAGAACCATCACTTTTAAGTGTGTATTCAGAACAACCAGTGAACCTACACGTCTTCTGAGTTTACTTGTGAAATGTTTACAAAGGTCCCCTCTTAAAGATGGTTCTTCAAGGGTTTTTTAGTAAAAGGAATGGTTCTGTTTAGAATTGTGAGTTCTATATAGAACCATTTCAGGCTTAAATGGCTCTTCAGATTGATAGAGAATGTGTTGTATATGGTTTGAAAATGATTCTATATAGCACCAAAAAGGGTTCTTCTGCCGTTATAAGCTTGACGTCGTAACAGAAACCATTTTTAGTGCTAAATAGAACCATTTTCAAAAAAGGTTCTATGCAGAACCATGTAAGACATATCTGAAGAACTATTTCACCATGCACATATTCATTTAAGCATGAAATGGCTCTATATAGAACTAAATGGAACAGTTCCCTCTTATCAAAGAACCCTTGAAGATTGTAGTCAAATCTGAAAAAGTTTTCTGTGGTTACAGTTTTGCTCTATAATGACCTTCATACCTCTCTGTGCTGAATGGATGCAAAAAACAAACAACATTTTAGGCCAAAATCTTCATTCAAACCTATCATACAACATGCAGTGTATTCATAACCATTTCATATAATAATTTTCTTTGAAGGAGATTTCAGAGGCATTAAACTCTTTAGCTATCTGGTTCATATCACCACCACTGTGAAAGAAACTTTTACAAGCTAAATAACTTTTTTACTTTAAAATATTGTGAATTAAAAGCATTTTTCCATACAGTAGCAGTGTTTCTTACATGGACCTCTCACCCACAGGGCGATCAGCAGTGGGTGTTATTGGAGTTTCCCGTGCCGGTGAAGGTGTCTGAGCTCAGGCTGCAGTTCCAGGGAGGATTCTCAGGAAAATCCTGCAAGTTAGAAGGTGCTTTCTGTCAAAAAATCTGCAACAAAACACTTATAACCTAGTACATGGTATTTCGGCCCACATTTTCATTCTGTTCCAATTCCGAACACCTGAGCCAGCTGAACAAGGAGCTGTAGACTGATTATGTAGCTCAAGAAATGGAGCGCAACAAAAATGTGAACTGGAACGCCGTCCTCACGTGACTTCAGTCAAATAACTGAAATAATGATTCAGAAGAAGAATAGCTACCAAAAAAAACACTAAGCAGCAACCCCTCATGTCCCAAGTTCTTTATAAAACCACAGGAGCTGAAGTTTGATGTTTTGTTTTTGAGATAGTTTTGGTCTAAAATAAAATATTCTAAAAAGGAATCAAGGACTAAATATGAAGTACAAAAAAAAGAACAATGTGAAAAGAAAAAGCAACACCCTCATATCCTCTCAAGTCTACTTGAGCGTATATGAAAAAAATAAATTCTTAAGTTCAAATTGATCAAAATTGTATTTAAGCACATATTAGGCAAGGCAAGTTTATTTATATGCCCCCCCTTCATACACTGCGGTCATTGAAAGTGCTTTACAAATGATAAAATACAAAGATAATTCAAATTATAATTTAAAAAGTAACAAAGGAAAATGGAAATTAGAAACATAATTAAAACAGTGGATTTTAAAAGAAAAGAAAACCAGATTAAAAATTAAACTAGAATAATAAAGTGCCGTTACAGGAGAGAAGTACAGTAGAGCTAAGAGTGTTTTAAACTGAGCTGAAAGCTGCTTATATAGGAACGTTTTCAGTCTGGATTTAAAAGTGTCCAGTGTCGGGGCTCTTCTAATGCTCTGTCAACTGGTTCCCTTTAAGAGCAGCATAGTAGCTAAACGCTGCTTCTCCATGTTCAGTTTTTGCCTTAGGTAGGACTAACTGACCAGTTCCTAATGATCTGAGAGTTCTGCTCGGCTCATATCGCCGAGCGATATGGTGATAAAGTGCTGATTTAGTAACTGCTTGACATGACCGCTAAAAGAGGTTAATTAGGTAAATGTAACTGTTTACTGCTGAAATCTGACCTCTCAGGACTAAATTAGACCCACCAGGCCTAGCATTTCAATCACAATAGTGCATACACATTGAATGTTTCTATATTTAAGAATAGTCATTGTCATAGCAGGACTGTAATAGCAATGTCAACCTTTCTGAAAGACATTTGTTTCTATCTCTCGTTTTTTTTTCTTTCCTAGGCTGCAGTAAAGAGGCTAATCTTGAACACATTGTGGACTTCTACCCAGAAGACAACAACTCACTACAGATATCCTTTTAAAAATCTTCTTTGCAGCGAAGCATGCAAGTCTATCTATTAGTTACCTAATGTAGTGTCCGAATTATTCCTATCTTTATTGGTTCCTATGACACACAGTGCTTGAGTGATGTCCATTCTTGTGTCCAGTTACCTTCATGCTCTCTAGTCTCTGCACATACATTTATGGATGATTTTCCACTGCTTGCCAAAAACGTTTCAGTATAGCAACGATTAATCCATATGTTTTTTTGGGTATATGATTGAAAAATGGGGTATAATTTTGCCTCTAGCCTGTGATGATGTTGGCTCATCGCCAAAAAGTGCATGTCTCTCACTCCTCCCATGCTTATGTTATGGCCTTAACTCCTCACCCACAGCTTTCCCATTCAGGATGCTCCGCTGGTTCAGAAGCTTAAAATAGTGTTTGAAAGCAGTACAGACTTTTTTGGAAGAATAATCGTTTACTCTTTAGATGTCCTGGGAGAACAAGCTTTGTAATGTTTGGAGAAGACAACAAATGAGAGGACCAGGAAAACAAACAGGCAACCAGCTCGCTGTGATGGACAGATTGCATGAACTGCACAAGTGGACTTATAAGAGTGCTCAAATGTATTCAGCTGCTCCCTAGTAGTTAAACTTTTTTATGAATGGCTTCACATGCCAAGACAAATCAACCCATGCAAGTATATTTGTAATGTTATTTTTATTAAAAAGGTAAAAAAAAGTTTACATTCAGAGCAAGAAAAGCAATGTAAAATTGTCACATCTTCTTCTTCAGTTCCGTAACAGTTTCAGAATGTGGTCCTCAAGCAGCTTTTGCACTGGAAAAGCAAATATAGGACTCAGTCAGACAGGAAATACACTATATACCCAAAAGTATGTGGACACCTTGCTGATTAGTGAATTCAGCTGCTTTAGAATGCTGAAATCCTCGCTGGTGGAAACATCTAATTGGACCCCTACCCCGAGTGGATGAATCTGCTGATAGTAGAACTGCATTCTCTGGAGTGATGGAGCTCAGTGCAATACCTTTGGGATGAGTTTGTGATCTAGAATTAATCATCCAACATCAATACCTGATCTCACTAATGCTCTTATGGCTGAATGCAGTCAGATCCTCACAGCAATGTTCCAGCATCCAGTGTAAAGGCTGTTACTGCAGTGGGGTTAACTCCCTATTAATACCTTTCATCTCAGAAGAAACGGCGGAGCAGGTGTCTACAGACTTTTGGATACACAGTATGTGAAACATATAATAGGCTAAAAGATCTGAGGTATAACTTAATTTTTACACATGATGAACTGTAGATTGTTATGATACTTGCTTTTCTTGTAGCCAAGAGCAACAGCAAGGGCCACCGGACTGTATCCGGAGTCTGATTCAAATGTTATATCTGCACCGTGACCTAAGCACAGATAATTATATGCATTGCGTTAGCATGCACAATATGAGTAACTGGAAAAAAAAAATCATTTAACGAATATAAACTCACCCAGGAGAGCTTCTACACATCTCATATGATTGCCACGAACTGCATAAAGAAGTGGAGTACCTCCATTCTGTAGAAACAGAGTGCGTGGTAATATGTTTATATGTTTTAAGGCATCCTGCAATACATCGCTGTGCTATTTTTATTTTACAGTATCATTTCCAAATTCTAAAAAAGGACAATGTCAAATGCTAATAAGAACAAAGTGATTCTTATCTATTATTATATTTAAAACAGTACAAAAAAACACAATGTAGAATGTTTTACTTTATGAACTTACGAAATATACTCTCACACGGGCCCTTTATTTTTCATATTTTGTGCTTTATAATGCCCAATTGGAGGTTTGGACAGGCCAGTCAGACCTGCACTCTGATTTTGCCGCCGGTCTGTTATAATGTGCAGAACATGGCTTGGCATTGTCATGTTTAAATAAGCATAAATGTCACTGAAAAAGACATTGCCTAAAAAGCAGCATATGCACCAAAATGTGTATGTATCTCTCAGTGTCAACGGTGCCTTTACAGATATATAAGTTGCCTATACCATGACCCTGGCTTTTGAACTTTATGCTGGTAACAATCTGGATGGTCCTTTTCTTTTTCGGTGTGGAGAACACAACGTCCTTTATTTCCATAAACAATCTGACAGGTGGACTCGTCGGACCACAATACACATTTCCACTGTGCATCAGTCCATTTCGGGTGAACTCAGCCCAGATAAGTTGGTGGCGTTTCTGTACATTGTTGGCATATGGCTTCCACTGTGCATAGTACAGTCTTAACTTACATTTGTGGATGCAGCGATGGACAGTGCTTATTGACAATGATTTGTCAAAATATCAAAGAGCCCATGCTGTGATATCTGTTACCGTTTTTAATGCAGTGCCGTTTGATGGATCAAAGGTCACAGGCATTCAGCTGTGCATGCTGGCCAAATGTTTTGCCAAAGTGGTGAGCCCTAACCTGTCCCTGCTTACATGGACTAGGCCTTTCCTGTATGCTGCTTGTATACACAAGCATGATTGCATCACCAGTTTAAGACATTTTTTTAACATTTCACAAATTGCCCCATCCCAACTTTTCAGAACAAGAAATACATGAAATACATAATCTTTGTTCTATTTTCATTTAAATACAGGTCAGAGTGGGTTTAAAATCACTTCTTTCTGTTTCTATTTGCATTTCACAAACCGTCGTAACTTTTTTTGGAATTGAGGTTTGTACTTACCCAGTCATAGGAATCAACGTCAACTTCATGTTTTAAAAGAGTACTGACGATGTCTGCGAATCCCCCAGCACTGGCCAAAGACAAGGCACTTTCCCGCTCCCGGGCAAATATTTTCGGATCAGCTCCCTGATTTGAAAACACAGTATGATTTCTGAGCCAGGTACAACACAAGTGAAATCCAACATAGCCAACCCAAGCTGTGGACCAAAAGTTATTTCTCACCTTCTCAAGGAGAACCTGGACGATTTCGATCTCTCCAAATGCTGCTGCCCACATCAGTGGAGTGAAACCTCGTTCATCCTGACTGTTCAGTAGGGAAATATCTGCAAGGATAACCACAGCCGTTCTTTAAAAAGTCCATAAACCTATGTTTTGTTGTGTATATACTTTTTTTTTTCCCTTAGGTCCACTTATAACGTTTGTATGTACATTTGTTACGTACCAGAAACACAGTCCTAATTCATATTTACATCACCGTTTTCCAATTCACTTCATTCCTTAGAATTAAACATGCTGTTTCTGTTACTGTGCCTGAGATTGATATATGAAAATTAGCTCTGCTCTGATTGGCTGCCTGTGCCTTAGTCAAAAAGCAGTCCAGGCTGAAACATTCTTTATAATTTAAGCATGAATGGGTGGAGCTAAACTGCTGTAGGCTAAACAGAGGTACAGGAGTAAATATGTTGATTTTTGTGACATCACAAAAACAAGTCAAGTCAAAACAGGCTGCTTTTGCTGCTTAATTTTCATATATGGATCAGGTAGTAAACAGTACATTTCGAAACTTTAAAAATGTTTCCGTTATATCAAACTTAAGCAAAGTGTGGTTTTCTATGATACAGGCTCTTTAAATATGTGGGACTGCAGTACTGTTGGTTGTCACTGATCATTGTAGCAGACTTGCTTACCTGAGGCAAGATGTGCCTTTACTTGTGATATTTCTCCATGAGCGGCAAACTGATGAATGGAGAGATCTAAACAAGTGAAAAATCCATTGATTTCAGTCAAACAGTTTAAAAAGTACTAATAGAAAAAGAAGTAATATTGAACAAAGTTGCCCCATAGTTTGTACTGGGCCTGAATGACTCTAAAAAGGTCTAAATGAAAATGAAAGGTGGCCTGGTGGGCCTGAATGACTCTAAAAAGGCCTTATGAAAATGTAAGGTGTAAAAGTGTTTTTTTTCTTTGGACAACGTTCTTAGTGGGATGAAGTTTCCAACTTGCACTTACTGTCCAAAGTGGCCGGCCGGACTGTGACCTCGTTCCCCCGCTGTTTATTCGTCAGGGTGGTGGTGTGGAGCGCCCCATCATCACTCTTATTCTCCATTATGGCTTACCATTACTATCAGTCCTGCATTAGAAAAGAAAGGACAGAGAAATTTATTTCATTACCTTAATAGCCTGACTTTCTGTTATATTGTAACCAATACTGAAAATACAGGCCCACTCCTATAAAAGATGCTTCTTCAAAGGTTCTTTAGCAAAGGAAATGGTTCTATATAGAACCATGGACACTCAGTGAACCATCTTCATGCTTAAAAATGGTGAAAACTTTCTTCAGATTGATAGAGAATGTGTTGTATATGGTTCTATATGGAACTTTTTTGAAAATGGTTCTATATAGCACCAATAGGGTTCTGCTATTGTTAGGCTACAAGGATTACATCCTTACAATAGTAGAACATTTTTAGTGCTATATGGAACCAGGTACAACACATTCCCCATCAATCAGAAGAACCATTTCACCATTCAAAGAACTATTTAAGTACACAAATGGTTCTTTGAGTGTTCATGGTTCTATATAGAACCATTTATTTTACTTAAGGACCCTTGAAGAACCATCTTTTTTTAAGAGTGTATAAAACATGAAGACAGCAAACATAACCGCAATTTTAATGAACGAGTCATGTTTTCTTACCAGATCTCCTCTGGAGCTGTATCAGAAGCCTTATATCACTTCTTGAAGCAGATTGTTTCTCTGCTCTTAGGTTTCCCGACTCTTTAGCGAACAACTAAAGTGAAACTAAAACATACTGCAGCGATCCAGGCTGCGTTAATGTTAGGTTTAAAAACAGACATGCATCGCACTGCTGTCACAGTATGGTTAAAAGTAAGATTATAAAATTAATTTTGATACCGTAGTTTTTTTGTAGCCAGTTCTTTTTTCGTGTTCCGGTGAAAGCGTTTTATTACATCTAGGAACTATTTGTTGTAGCCGGTGTTACGAACCGAGCGGTATTTCAGATGCACGCTGAGTAATATCAACAACCTGTGACGGCACAGGTTACATAGCGAAATATTTCATTTATTTTTACCATATTGTCAGCGTTTTAGTGAAAATGGACGACCAGGAAATGCAGCTGAAAGTTAAACGAGGTAATTCCGTCGTGGTTGTTCTTTGTCACATGCAAAAAATGATGTAAATAGCATAATTTGCGTAACGCTGTGATGGTCTGCTGATCTGAGCTCAGCTAACGAGGCTGACGTTGTCTTCCTCTTCGCCAGCTTCTTGTTGGAATTTTCCCGTTCCACCTTAAATGGTGCAGCCTAAGGCGCCAGAATGTAACTGCTGCACCATTTAAGGTGGAACGGGAAAATTCGAATAAGAAAGCTGGCGAATAAGAAGCTGTCTTCACCTTCAGAGTGGTTTCTGCCCCAGATGCACGTGAATGCGTGACAGATTATCCACACTGAGGAAACAACTGCTGTTTTATCTTGTCTGTGTTGCAGTAACGGATAAGTTCACGGAGAGCATGTATGTTTTGGCGAATGAACCCTCCATAGCTCTGTACCGCTTACAGGAGCACGTCAGGAGATCACTGCCGGAGCTGGTTCAGCATAAGGTGGGTGCTTTAATGAAAATGACTTTATGAAATACAAGCTTGACGTATGTAAACATGAAGTTGAAGTTTCAAAATGTACACTGTAGCAAAAAGGGTTCTCTATATAGTACCGAATAGTTCTTTGGCTTGTGACAATAGTATAACCCTTTTTGGTGGCGTATAGAACCCCTTACAACACAGTCTCCATCTGAAGAACCCTTTCATGATACAAAGAACCCTTTAATCATGCAAAGGGTTCTTTAAGTGTTCATGGTTCTATATAGAAGCATTTTCTTTATTAAAGAACCCTTGAAAAACCATTGCTTTAAATAGTGTACCATTCTCTTCAATTTCAATTCACTATTTTGGGACATTATTAAAACCAGCATTTATATATAGCCACCTAATGCTTAATTAAGTAGTGTTTCAGCATGGACTGCATTTTGGATGAGACTCAATACAGGGCAGCCCTTCAGAACAGAGGTAGTTTACATATCTCAGTTATAAAGGCACAGTAACAAAACATTGAGTTTAATTCTAAGGGATACTGGACATAGTCATAAAAAAATGAATTTTTGGTTCACAAAACCACTCAAACATTATAAGTGGACTCAAGCGAAAAAATAAAATATACAAAAGAGTAGAATAGGGACCATTTAAACAAGTATTGTTTGTAGTTTGTGATGTCAGGAAAACCAACACATTTACATATGCCTGCCTATTTATGTGACAGTTAATTGTTTTGTGTTAACTGTTTTGGTCTGGACTACTTTTTGAATAAGGCACAACAGAGCATATCCAATGAGAACAGAGCTAATTTACATATATCATTCTTAAAGTCAACCTGAAGTCAAATCGGACTTGTTTTTACTCTTTTAGTGCATGTTGCTGGTCATATTAAGCACAGTTCATCATATCATATTTAAAGTCTTCCATCGAAACGTAGTGACTTTTGTCTGCCTCTAAAACATCTTTTGATTTTTTTATTTACGTCACCATGCACCAGCAAGCAGGGAAAATAATATTAACCAGTACTATGATGTTTCGTCTCCTCCTCACTCCCTCCTATCATCCAAAGAAAACACTCTGCTAGCTCAGAGACACACACTGATACCGTGTTTCACTAACTGAACAGTATGGAAGGAAATGTACTCTGATTTTCAATTTAAGCCCACTTTAAAACGGTCATGTAAAATTAATTATGACTGTTTATGGTACCGCCAATTGGATACGCTAAATTGCCCCAAGGTGTGAATGTGTGTGTGAGTGAATATGTCTGTCTGTCTGCCCTGTGATGGACTGGCGACCTGTCCAGGGTGTTTCCAGCCTTCCACCCGATGACTGCTGGGGTAGGCTCCAGCTCCCCCCACAACCTAGAAGGATAAGCGGCTTAGAAAATGTGTGTGTGTGTGTGTGTGTGTGTGTGTGTGTGTTTGGTACTAAAGTGGAGCTCAGGGATAAAGAAAATACTAACAATAAGTCACTCTAGAAAACAGTTTTGTTGAATTGTTTTTATGTGGTTGTACAAGATCACTTTGAACCAGATGCAGTTCTCTGTCCTGTGGAACACTATGGGGGGGGCAATTTTTGTTGTATTTTAGTTTAGAACCATTTAACAACTGAAAACTGGAATGTCTTCTTGGTGGAAAAATGCCCTGCAGACACCTGTATACATAGCAAGTACAATGGAAAGTGTGCATTACACTCAGGTTAATCTAAACCTTGCATGTCTCATCCAGATGGAGCTACGATATTTTCAGTTCTTGATGGTATTTGACAATGACATATTTTATTTTTCTATAGACAGACATGCAGAGCTGGGAGGAACAGAGCCAGGGCGCAATATATACTGTGGAGTATGCTTGCAGGTAATATTTTAATGATCTGTAAACAACACAGCCATTTAAGCACTAGATTGTAAGATGAGAGCTCTCCTTTTTGTATTTGCAGTGCTGTGAAAAGCATGACCAACAGCAGTCTCTACTTTAAAAACATTGACGGGCTGCTAAGGCAAGCGATCGCAATGAAGGAAAAGATCAGCAGTTCTCAAGGACGAAGGTAGTTCACTCTCACTAGCTCACAGTGGCCACTAAAATCAGATAATCTCACCATTCCGTTACATCCCACCTCAAGTAAGCTTATGTTTCATGATTGTGTTCTAATGTTTGCTTGTTTTCGTCCATCAAGTGGCATTGTGCCAAAGCCATTACTGCTGTTTTGGTTTGCAAAATATTTTGGAATTATTTTCACAGTTTTATTGTTTGTCTGTTAAGTGATAATGATTGTATAGCTTGTAATTTACAGTCACATTCTAGCACATACTATGTTGATTACACATTTACTCTTATGTTTCCCTTTTTGCCATTTAACCAAATTAAACTTTCAGATTTGTTTAATTTTCTTTTTTTTTGGATCAATGCATGCTGCTTTAGTGGTGTGAAGCCTGCACCCAATCACAATGACCCTCCAACACATGTCTCTTCCACATCATCTTGACATATGGAAATCTATTGCCAAGGTTAGTGCTGCTTCCAAAGGCCTGACACTGGCCTGATCCTTTGATGCTTTAGTAGCCCCATTTTATATTCCTTCGGAAATTAAAGTCAACCTAAATAAAGAAATATCTTGTTTACATTAATTCATTCAGGTTAATTCATGTCCATGTTTATATTCAAGGGCTAGGAAGGTAAAATACTGATATATATTGATGTGTATATTTAAAGTCTATTGTGTATATATTTTTAATATAATTTTACTACAAGGGGTCCTAAGATTTTCATTCACCTTCACACCTGTGTTAATGTGATGTGACAAAAATGTGTTTTGATTTGATTTGGACAAATTTACACAATTTTCCACTTACCCCAGGCCTAATTCACAAAGTTGCTTTCTCAGTCAGTCAGATAACTTAAGGCCTAAGTCAGCACTGTCTAGTAGGAGGAGAGCTGGGGGACTTTCCTACTGGACAGTCCTGACCTTTGGGATTGGTCTCAAATTATCTGGTTAACTGAAAAATCCTGCTTTGTGACATACCGTGCCAACCAGTACATCTAGAAAATATCCTTATATAATTCAGATTATTAATTACTAATACAAAACACGTACGAAAATGGACTATAAACATATATTTTAATCCTTCAACAATGTTATTAGTGTTGTAACTGTAGAATAAACATTATTTCACTGTATTTAGTTTCATAAGTGGCCTGTTTGTAGTGTTTCCATGCTTTTACGAACACAGGCCGCAGTCCTTAGTGTTGAACATAGAGGGTCTGCTGGAGTGGTTTTTAGTCCCGGATCTGGAGACCAACAGTTTAGTCTATTCCATCGCTGGTTTTAATTCCGACGCTTTAGCATTTTATGTGCTGAATTAGGGGCGTTAGGGGGAAAATGAGACTCTGCAGTACTGTACAGTTTATTAGGTACACCTATAGGCATATACCTAGGTGTATTAGATATATACAGTACTGGGCAAAAGTCAGAAACCACCCTTTATTCATTTAATTTCAAGTCAAAACTGCCATTGAATACAAGTTATTCATTTTTAGCGTCACATAAAAAGCAGAAAACATATTTAAGAGAAAATTTACAAAAGTCTCAACAACTAAATATAATCTCATTTTTTTAGTGTTTAGTGTGTCCACCATTTGTCTTTATTACAGCTTTCTTTCTTATTGCTAGACTTGCTTTCATTTGTACTTGAGGGATATTTTTCCACACTTCCAAAGTGCAGCCTTAGAAGTTGGTTGCACTTTTGGCTTCACATGATCGAAGTTTTTTTTTTTCATTTACAAATTTTTGTCTATTTCCTTTTTTCAATAAGGGCTTCTTGACAGCTACACATCCTTTCAGACCCACCGCGCTGAGTTGTCTTCTCACAGTGGAAGGTGGACAGAAAAATTTGTGGATTTTTTTCCAGATCTGAAGCAAGAGTGGAGCTTGATTTTCCCCGCTCTCTTAAAGACAAAAGCTTTATGTAGCGTTTATCTGAGCGTTTTGGTGGTCTACCAGGTCGTGCACAGTTGTTAGGAGTCCTATTTGTTCAACTCCAGTTTTAGAAAACTTAAATTTGGAAATTAAATTTATAAAGGGTGGTCTGTGACAGTACTGTAGGTACACCGTTTATTAGGCATATATATAGGTGTATACCTAGGTATATTAGGTATGTATGCATACAATTTTTTAAGTATACCGGTACAGGCGACGTAACACAATATGTGCACAGTAAAAGAAGCAACAGCTTAACATGTCAAACTGAAAGCTACTCTGTGTTTCCAGTTGCTCACACTAATGTGGAGTCTTTGCTTGTGGCTTTGCGAGCCAGCACAGTTCTCATCTCATTGTTGACGCCGTTCCAGGGCTTTGCTTGTGCCTGGAGCAGGCCAGACTCTGCAGACAGGGTCCTGTGCATCCGGCCACTTCCACTGTAGGCCTCTCTTTCACTGGAGTGGCTGTGTGGGCCACTCGGCGGCAAGTACTGTTGTTTGGGCTCAGCGGAGGGTGTGTAGGGGAACTGGCGGTGCATGCTGGCTTGTCTCCTGGGTTTCTCTCTGAAGCTAAGCTCTGATGTGTGAATGCCAGGACTACTCTCAGGGTCGTTCTGGTACACAGTGTTGACATGTTGGTTGCGGAAATGCTTGGCTGTGCGCGCAGCCCGGAACAGCGAGTGAGCCACTATAACCAGCAGTACCAGTACACCGGAGGAGAGTACACAAACGCTGGCTATTCCCGTCTCAATCTCGAACACGAGCAACATGTAGATAGCCATAGCTGTGAATTTAGAGAGAAAAAGTGATGAATACAAATCTGAAACCTTTTAGATTTTTGACAAATCAAAGCAGATTTAGTGGGTCTACTGCTGATCTGTCTGCTTGTTTGTTTATTTCTTATTTGTTTATTTGTTTATTTATTTGTCTTTCCTGCAGGAAAAGAGCTGTGGATCCTAGTATAATGAGGGATGGTGGTGAGAAGCAGAATTCTGGGATATGAACTGCAGTTACTGGTCTGCAGAATGGACACTGAGCCAGAAAGAGCCTCATTCCATCTTAAGAGTGCAATTCCTTTTGGATTTCAGGCTTTTGGCACTCAGCACTGGGCTGGAGTGAAAGCGTGCCCTTTGCTAGATTCTCAGTTACAGTATTTTATCAAGAGTTTGAAAGAAAGGATTGTTCTCAGCTGCAATTAAATACATTGCCATAATCCTGAAATACTGTACAATACTACTAATATTGCATTATGAATGCTTACTTTTAACATGATATTCTGAAATATTGTTTTTTTTTACTGATTTAACATTGATTTGTAGGCTATGTGTCATTAAAATGACTGAGAATATAACTGAGTGAATTTTGATTACACTCTAAACACTCTAAGTGGATGTACTCTGTTGAAAGGATACTGTAGTCCATAACTACGCTTAACACTGTTTACTGACATCTCTCACCTCCCAGATAAACAGAGATTCCAAGGCAGAACAATCCAATGGCGACATGCCGGACAGACCTGCTGTCCAACAGAAACCAGTCAGCTCTGAGAGAAGAGACAGTCATAAGGTCAATTCCAGTTTGCTGCAAGACGTAATAATTGGCAGCCAATTTAACTCTGAATGAACATTCATAGAGGAGTTCAAAGGGTGCCATCATTACAAATCATACAGTAGTTTATTGGGCTAATACATATGGACCACAGCCGTTTCTTGCTGTAAGCAGTAAAAGCAGTTATGGCCCCTGGGTCATGAGGCGCTCCAGTGAGTGTATGTTTTTTTTTTCCCTGTAATATCAGAGAAATAGCAGAGAAGTATCTTATGAAGACAAAACGGACTTTGCTTCCAAAAAAAAATCAAGAATGCAGAAGTAATTCACCCACAACCGAAAAGCATTTTATTTACTTCTTAGTCATTCAGATTAGGAGTGCCCAACATATTTTTCTTGGCTGGGGCCAAAGTGCATTGTTTATGTTGGGCTGAGGGTCAAGAAGACCGAACAATTTACATACTAAGAAAGTAGATGGGTTTCAAATCGAGCATTTGTTACTAAAATTGTTACCGTTGTGTTTACCTTCGCATTTATTTAACGTTCCCTGATCAAGATGAATTAAGTATTAATTCATTTCCATCCTAACATACAAAATAATACCACTGGGGTGGGTGGGTGTAAGGACCCCAAGTGTACACTTAAAAAGATGGTTCCTCAAGGGAATTGTAAATCTAAATCTGTTTAGAACCATTCCCATGCTTAATGGTTCTTCAGATTGATGGAGAATGTGCTGTATATGGTTCTATGTAGAACTAGTTTGAAAATGGTTCTGTCTAGTGCCATAAAGCGTTCTTCTATTGTCTCAGAACCAGTCTGAAGAACCATATCAACATGCAAAGAATCACTTAAGCATGAAATGGTTCTATACAGACCTCATGGTTCCAAACAGAACCATTCACTTTACTAAAGAACCATAGAAGAACCATCTTTTTTGAAAGTGTAATGAAGGGCCTTTTCTCAAATGTATAGAAAAGGCCCTGATAATATGTTACATTTAGAGTTCTGTACTTTCAGAGAACTTTAAAACTATAATGCTAATATGATGGAGGTGGTGTTGGAGGAGGGAGGGGTTCATTTTCACTGTCTAAACATGAGTGAAAGCGCTGCTGTACCTCTGAGTGTCTTCCTCTCCTCGGCATATCTCGGTAGTGAAGTAGCTGTGCAGCAGACACACGACGACAGAGCAGAAGTTGAGAGTGAGAGAAAGCGCTGAGAGCACGACGGCGACTGGCATTAAAACCGCCGAGATCTCGCTCGGCACCACGGAAAGCGAGTCCCTCCCCTGCCGAGCCTGCAGCTGGAAGATGAGGAACACGGACAGGACGGACATTACTGAGGACAAAACGCCGAGCAGCGCCAGCACCACCAGAGCACGCTGGCTGTAAGACATGGCCGAGCGGGAACCAGAGTCTCTCCTTCGCCTTACACGCTCAAACAGAAGTGCATGCAGGCCGTTCTCTGCAGACACATCCGAAAACACCGCCGTGTATCGCGGCTCCGGACCGCTCAGACCGCCCAGGCTGAGGGAAACACTTTCTTTGCCCCGGTGTTGTTACATTAGATCTCTGCGCTCCGTCGTTGCGGCTCAGCCTGAGCATGTGATACAGGCTGCTGTACAATCCTCCCCAGATTAAACCAGAAAAACTCCCCCAACAATGAACTTTTCAGCTCGATTCGTGCAAACTGACTTGTTTGGTCGACAACAACTTTAAGCTGCAAGATAACTTCCACCAGCACCGACCACCATAGCACTTGGCAAGAACAGGTGCAAGGCTTTCTGGGAAGTCGCTTACGTCCCAAAAAACAGGACAAGAAAGGGATGCAAAGTGATCAAATTCGAGAAAAAATTGCCCTCAGAAAAAACAATGTTAAGAAGTCCAAAGTCCCAAAACATTTTCCCAGTTTAGCACCTCGCCTCAACATATTTCCTTGCTTATGAAAGGGGAATGTCACCGATTTTTCAAAATGTCTGTGTAATGAAATGGTTAAGCTGTAAACGTAGCCATTCAGAGGGGTTTTTCTTCATACTAGACAAACTGTTCGCAGTGGTGGTGAACGGAACCAGACGTCTCTAGCATTTAAAGCCTCTTAAAGCTGCTTCATAGAAAGTTATTAAATGAAATAGTTATGAAATGTTGCTTGAGACATTCTTTCAAGACAATGTTTTGGCCTAAAACCATTATCAATTATCATTTTTTTCCCCATTTTGCCAGTATCAACATGTATTACATATATAATTTTCACGTGTAGGTTCACTTTTTTAATAGTAAATAAAATGGCTGTATTATGCATTGTAAACATCACTACCTTCTATCACCACCACTGTTAATAATCGATAAATCCTTCTACATTGAAACCTTTCACATCAAACCAGTCTGAATGATTGCTTACATCTCAATGATTGAATGATATAGATGTTTTGAAAATGTAATGTAATTCCTCTTTAACTAATGGGTTGTAACTGATAGCCTATGGGTTTGTATAGGCCATTCAGGCCACTTAAAAGACCAGAGGTAGAAAGTAACTAGTTAGTTTTTTAATATTTTTCGGTCATAATGCTAATATTTGTACTCATCTATTTTAGTCATTCACATTTAGCTCCTAAATCTTTAATTGGGGATTTATTTCATTCTGTTGTGTTGGTTCAGGTCCTGGTCTGCTTTGCTGTTTTGGACAGGCTACCCTTCGTACTCGCAGTTGGTGATGTATCCAAAGCTACCAGAAGGCCTGGAGTGACAATTATTCTCAAAAACTTTGTCTCACTCATTGGAATCAAACTGTTTTCTGTCAGTTTCTAATTATGTTAGTGGGTAATATAAGTGTAAGGCCTTCTGCTTCTGAAGTCCTAACCAATGGGAAAGCTGACTTGACTGTATCTACCTGGATACCACAGAGGAAAAAATCCTGATTGGACAGTTTTCCATTGGGCATTTCAAGAATGTAACCCCTTTGTTCCCAACCAAAATGGTTAATTAAATAAGAGTATTACTACAATGCTTGCAGAGCTTATGTACAACAAGCATGATGATTATATTAAATAGTTTTTTAGATTTTTTTTTTTACTTCACAGAAATCTTTAGGTCTGGTATCGAATTGGTGCTGTCTCTACTTGAATATTGGCACATGTCCTCATACTGATGTTGAATCTACATATAAGTTCTGCTGCAGTTCTATTTGGAACTCTGTACTTGAGGGTTTTTTTTTGGAACTACTTTTACTTCCAATTAAATCAGTATAAATTTCAGTATAGCTATAGACTACTATCCCCACTCGCTGCTGGCAATTTTACACTTACTTCAACAATTACGCAAAAATTATGCTTGATTACTTTCAGACCCATTGCAACACGTTTATAGTGGTCTGCTCTTTAACACACTTTGAAGGTACCTTCTTCCTAAAGCCCTCAGCCAGTACATCATGTCTTATCACTATGGAGCAAACCTTCAGTAAGAGATCAGGGCCTGACTAAGATACAGAGTGAACAAAGTGCTCATTATTACCAGTACCGTTAGCTTGCAGAATCAGGCAGCAGGTGGGTTTTAATGCTTTGACTTGGTGGTGGGAACTCAAGATCTGCGTTTGCACTGTTCGAGGCGAGATAGACCTGATTACTAAAAAAAAGTACACACAGCGAAGAATCGCTCGAACACATGCACAGTGACCAGGGAGGCTATTTCTGAATTCAACAGGGCCTACCACATGCTAAAAAAATCGAAGCCACTGATGTTGTCAAAAGCAGAAGTGAGAAGTTTCAGGAAAAGAAAAAAAAGCGGTCTAATGTACGCTTTCCAAAGGTTCCTTCACTCAACACGAGGCCTTGAGTAACTGTATTTTCTTTGTGTAGTGATAAATAAACAGTTACAAAAAGGCAGCCCACAATCATGAGCACTCTTGGGCTCAGAGAGATTGCAGATTATAGTAAGCAGTGCATAAGTAATTGGACAATGGCACTTTTTTGTTGCTTTGTCTTTGGTCCACCACATTGGACTTGTGAAGCTATGGCTGTGAGGTTAAAGTGCAGAATATCAGCTGCATCCGAGTATATTTTTACCTGTATTGGGTGACCCGTGAAGAAACATGGCATCACAGTCCTTTTTATACACACATATCATCTACAGGGAAATATAAAAATATAAATATGGCACATTTGTGCACAAATCCTATTAATTTGCTGAATTTAACATATGAGATTTTTAAAAATACAAATTCTTTTTTTTTCCAGATCTGTGAAATTTACCAGTTTCTACAGTTAAGTAGAAGTTGTACAATAAATTTTGCAGACGCATGTTTCCTGCAGAGGATGTGATTAGAAAATGCACAAAACAATTCAACCAGGGGTGTCCAAACTTTTGAATAAGACTATAGACCTCCTATTTCAGTAGACCATTATTAATTGAACAAATTAACTAATTATTAGGTAAAATTCTACTAGTGAAGCATATAGAAATCACAAGCCTTTTTATACATAATCACCTATTTTAGTGGACCATAAGTATCTGGACAACTGCCTGATCAATCCATTGTTGGAAAAATTATAAGTTTAAGCACAAGAGCATTAATTAAGTCTATGGTTAATTCCAGATGTAGCATTTGCAAGTGAAATCTTATTGTTTTCTTGTAACCTGCTATCAAGGGGTAACAACTTTTTTTTACACCTCTAAAATGTCTTTCAACTTTTTGATTGCGTCATCATGCACCTGTTCTGGGACAAAGACAAGCCCAGCATCAGGGGGTCATTTAATAGAACAGTGACCTCAGAGAAGGCGTCATGATTGCTGTAAATAAGAAAAAAGCAACTTAGTTTATTTTTATTTAATCGAATCATTGTAGTTGTTGTACTTAAACTCTGCAAGTACTTTAGTAATACTGGTACATCTTTGTCAAAATTTGGTTGGAAGCAAAAGGGTTAATTTTTAAAAACCCACTGTAAAATCTCAGTTAGGATTTCTTCCTCTGTGGTATCTAGGTAGATACAGCCAAGCGAGCTCTCTCATTGGTTAGGACTTTAGGAGCTGAACTGAAGGCCTAATGGGTCAGATTAACCATTAACATCGCTAGGGACTGATCATCACTGATCAGGACTCATTTCCAGTGAGTGGGACCAGTTTTTCTGAGAATAAACATCGCTCTAAACCTTCTGGAAGTTCTAAATATGTGACTAACTGGAAATACAGTTGGTAGCCTGACCAATGAGTTTCAGTCAGTTGTTAGAAATGGAAAACAGCAGCAGCTCTGAGCCAGGGCTCTTTACTTCATTGTAAAAGTGTGACAAAGTAAAATATTTGTTAAAATCTGTTAAAAGCTTTAAATAAAACATGGAATGTACATAACAAGCTTCAGATAACCCTGTTTAATGTAAAATAGCCATGAAATCTTAACATGCCTCATCTTTAGCTTAGTGCTAACATATTACTAGAATCCCATAGGGGTGCTAGCATATATTAGCATTATCATAGAGGTTTTTTCCCTAAGTTGTTGACAGAATTTTCACCTTCAATTCCTGAATGGAAGGCCTAGCTCTCTACTGACCACTATTTGCCACTGTTTTAAACATGCTTCTACAGAGGCAGGCGACAAAAACAATCGAAGTGAAATGGAATTTTGTGCGTGCATGTAGCATGTGTTAAAAGCTACATCGATTGACATACTAGGGTTTGCATGTATTATATTGAACTGGCTGCATTTTAGGGATGTGCTGTATGTTGTGGAAAGATAAATGAACAGATTTCCAAAATGGGTGGACCTTTGGAGATTTGTGGCAAATGTGGCTCACCTCTTGAGTCTCTCCTGGATGTGTGGCCCCTTTGGACATACATTCATAGATTTGTATTTTCTTCAGCTGTGTGTAGTGGCCCCCTGTGGTTTTTAGATGCTCCATGTCATTTATTTCTGGCCCAAGGTCTGGACAGACTTTATGGAAAGTTGAGATGGAGCTTAATCTGCATCAGAGTGATAGAAAGAGGAAAATGTGGAGATAAAAAGAATTCTGACATGTGGAGAGATTTCCTAACCTCTCCAAACCAACCTAGCTCAGTAATGGTACACTGCTTTTCAATAGGCCCATGCCCTGAAACATACTAAAGCAACTTCAGGGCCAAAAAGTGGAATGTTCTTGACTGGTGAAGTAAATTGTCTGACCTGAACTCCAGAGCAGCATTTCACTTGCTGAAGACAAGCCTGAAGGAAAGAAGTGCCAGTATTCTTCACTTTAAACTCAAAGCCATTGCTTTATTTTAAACTCAATGTGTTATGAGTACAGGAAATAAATGTTTCATCACTGTTTAATTACTTATGCACTGCAATGTATATGTGACTTATAGGTGTTCTTTTTAGTGGCCCTAGTGATTTTGTAGTAGATACAATACAAGATAGCGCACAAGTGCTTTATTGACACTAGTTATTACACAGGTTTAGTGATTCACTCTTCTTGCAGTACTTTCTTGCTTTCTTGGAGCTCCATTGTGTCCTAATTTGCCTGTTTACAGATACTTTGGTGTTAATTTTCGGCTGGATTTGAGGGAATCCAGATGTGTGCAGCGCAGGCCTGAATGTGGCCTGCTGTTCGGGGACTGTTTAGCAGTCTGACGCGAGGTTGCTCGTTCTTGCATCAGATGACATGCAGCCCCGTCCCCCTAGAGAGAAACCTCACTACTGTGTGCATGAGAGAGAGAGATAGAGAGAGAGAGAGAGAGAAGCTAAACGTGCATTATCTTTCTCACCTTTCTTATATATGATGCCTATCAACGA